ACAGTACAATGTACTATTCAAAGTAATAATAATAGCAATAGTAATAATGTCATGATTACAATTTATTAGACATGCTTTTTGATTACTATTTAATTTAACTATTGAACTAAAATAGAGTCCAGAAAACAAAAAAAACACAATACAGAAAAATTTAAATGGAAGTTCCAATAGCATCTAAGAGTAAATGATGTGCTTAATCACTGTTATAATTATGAGGGGGTCCTTCTAAATTATCAGTGTGAAATGCACATATATAGTGTAGTTTAGAACGAAGATAACCTGGGGTTAAGCGCAGTGTGAAAAGCCCTCAAGTGGCATGAACAAACAAATAATGCTAGTGCTTTCTCCAACCCAAATTGACTTTTTTGCAATGACAATTTAAACGTCACAGTGAATTTTATTAGAAATGAAGAGGAGTTAACATTGAACATGTTCCAATAACAACTAAAAAAGAATCTAAATAGTATTTTGTCCTTATATCTACTGTTGTATAATGTAAAAAAAATTATACATCGACTCATGAAGATGCCAGAGAAAGCAACATGGGTGTTGTTGTTTTCTACATCACTCTTTTGTTCTGAGGGGAGGAACAGGAGGAAGCAGGCACATCCTGTAACTGCACTTCCTGCTGCTGCATGGTGCTGCTGCTCGCTCAATGTGAGAAAAGCAACTCTCAATACCGTTCTCCTCAGCATTCAGCTAGAAATATAATTTAACTATAGGTTGGTTAGAAAATGGTGAACTATTATAAATTCTCAGCACAGTTACAAATGACAAACAAGTGACTAGAACTCCCCATGATTTCTGCTGAAAATATGCTGAATGTTTTTTACTTCAAAAGCAATTCATTGAACTGGCTTGCACTACAAAGTTTGTGTTTAAAACAAAGCTTAATGCTATTTTTCTGCTTCCGATTCAGCATAAATTGCATCACTGTTCCAGAAACTCACCTCCATCATTGGCCTGAGCTCGGTTCAGGTTCAGTCCTCCTCTGCAGATGACTGAAAGAGCGTTGCAGTGTGATCCAGAGTGCTGTCAGAGAGTTTGTGTGTCTCCTCCTCTGTTGCTTGGGCATGTGAAGGCAGAGCTGGGAGCTCCAGATCAAGCACTGCTCTTCTCCACTTCACTGCTAAACACATCTCTTGATTGTCGTCTCCACCCACTGTCTCCTCAGATCTTTTCCTGCTTGGATTATGTTTGACTCTCTATCTTTGTAAGACATTGTTTGATAAATCTTGCTGTTTATAAATCAATTCTTTATAAATCCTCTAATTTTAATGATCATTACTGCAGTGCTTCTATTTTGGGGACATGGCTTTAGAAAATATTCTTTAAAAAGACTGAAATATGCTGTATCAAAATGACTTAGTCTCTGCTTTGGAGAAGCTGTGTACAGTATATAAATGAAACAGTTATTCTAGATACAACCCGCACAGTTCAGGGATTATTATTTAAATTGTGTTTATTTATTAAAAATTTTCATTTAAATGTTAAATTAAACATTTTTACAAAATAAATGGCAGCTGTGTTTGGCAGAATAATTCCATAAGTACAGCAAAAATGTGCATATTTACAAAACACCCTGTTAATTTCACATTTCAAACTGCAATTTTCATATATATATATAACTTATAACTTAATAGCACAGGATTATAAAGAGAATGATACATATATGCTGAAGGTACATTGGTGCATATTTACAAAACACCCTGTTAATTTCACATTTCAAACTGCAATTTTCATATATATATAACTTATAACTTAATAGCACAGGATTATAAAGAGAATGATACATATATGCTGAAGGTACATTGTGGATACAACTAACAATGCTATATATATATATATATATATAGCATTGTTTGTTGTATCCATATATAGTTGTATATATATATATAGCAACTATTAACACAATCATTTAAACAAAATACTACAAAGTGTCGCAAAGAATTGTGGGATATGGTTTTTCAATTTTTATGATGACAAATTATTTGTTCAGTTTCACTTCCACATTACTGTTTAACAGTATTTTATTGTAAAGCATGAAATCTATGGTTAGATCTATAACATTTTTCACCATATATAGTAAGGGAACGTATCATTAACCAATTAAAAAGGTCTTTAATTTTGCATTTTTAGTCTTTTATATCTAAAATTGCAATCATTTTTTTTATAGTATGATTTTTAATTCAGATATTCAGTTGATGAAACCAGATTCGATGGACCCTTGAGGAGTATATTTATATATTATTATGACTTGTTTTCTATTGAATTTAGTTTTAGTTTGGTTGTTGACCCTCAAAGGTCGTTTGGAGCGCTGAAGCCGCAGTAACTCTCCAGTCCGCTAGAGGCGCTCTTGATCAGAAACACTCTTCAGTATTTGACTCTGAAAAGACGACACAGAAGCGAACGAGGAAGTGCTGGAGAATAATATTTTGAAATCAATTGTGCATCATTTCCCCTCACCATTTTCATCTGTTGCATGCTTGGTAAGTTATTGTTATACGTTATTTCGCTATTCTACCTGCACAAGTCTCTTACGTTCTCGACTGTTATCTGAAACATCTGATAATAATGTTATCAGATTATCTGAAATCTCGACTGTTAATGCACTGCCTTTGCTTCATACAAACGAATACTTAAAAACTAGTGCTGTCAAACGATTAATCGCATCCAAAATAAAAGTTTTTGTTTACATATTATATGTGTACTGTGTATGTTTATTATGTATATATATGTAAATACACACACATACAGTATATTTAGAAAATATTTATTTACTTATATTTTATGTTATATATATATATATATATATATATTTAATAGATAAACATAATATATTTTTCTTAAATATATACATATATATATATACATGCATGTGTTTTGTTATTTGTAAATCTGGAATCTGAGGATGCAAAAAAATCTAAATATTGAGAAAATCGCTTTTAAAGTTGTCCAAATGAAGTTTTTAGCAATGCATGCTACTAATCAAAAATTAAGTTTTGATATATTTACTGTAGGATATTTACAAAATATCTTCATGGAACATGAGCTTTACCTTTATCAATCATTTTGACTCATACAATGTATTGTTGGCTTTTGCTACAAATATATGGCTCCAGGGTCACATTTAGGTTTAGATTTTTAAAATAAGACCTATATTGTAATTTTTGCTGCTGCTGCTTGCGAGTGAAATAATTCAAGAATGTTTGCTTTTATTTCCTCCTTATTCAGTCGCCATTCAAATATTCAGTACAAAGCATGTACAGTATTTAGTATGTGTTTGGTTTCTATTGTTATTCTTCATTATTGGTGTGATTTGGATGCTGACAGGTTGTAATGGAGACCCCTGAGCCCGGTCAGGCAGATGGAGAGGAGCAGATGGTGGAGCTGAGACCCAGGACCCGCTCCAATCCGGAGGGTGCGGAGGACCGGCGCAGCAGCACTGGCAGCCTGAACAACAGCCTGGCGTCCCCGCCGCAGCCGGCCGTGGGCAGCCGTGTGGAGGGAGAGGGAGAGGCGGCCAGCTCCGACAGCCCTCCGACTTCTGCCTCCGCTGCAGCTGCACCTGTTACTGCCACGGGAAACTCCACCGCCAGCCTGCCTGCCATGGCTTCCACAGTGAAGGAAAGACCCAAACCCCCTCAGGCGGCCATCGGCACCCAGATCCCCCCATCAGCCGAGCTACACCTGCGGGCGCCACGAGTCAACAGCCCCGAGAAAGTGGTACAGCTGTAAATAAACAGAACTTCAGGATATCTGCATCTGAAAACACTTCCGTCAGTGAAATTGTCTTTTTTTTTTTAAACAGATCATCTGTTTGGACCTTTCTGAGGAGATGTCTCTACAGAAACTGGAGTCATTTAATGGGTAATTTTACAGGTTTTAAATTAAATGGTTGGTTTATCGTATTCAGTTAGGAAAGACATTTTCTTCATATCAATGTTTCGTAAATGATTTGCATTTTCAGATCCAAGATGAATACCTTAAACGTTTCACAGAAAACAACAATAATAATTTTAAAACTTAAAAAATATATATATGTTACTTAGTATTATTATTATTTCCATATACAATTATTCACTGTGTATAGAAAATATGAAATATGTACTATTTAAAATATATATTTTTTAAATAATTATTATTAAAAATAATTAATAAAAACTATATAGACATGTAAAAACTACAAAAACTAGTAAAAAAATCACAAAAACAAAATTAAACTTAAACTAAAAAGTACAATTTAAACTAAAATTAACATGAAATCATAAAATATAAAAATAAAATCTTAAATAATAACAAACACTATAACAGTATCTCAGTGATACTTAAAATAACAGTATCTTCATTAAATGAGTAATCCTGCATGTTCCTAATATTCTCTTTTTCTTTTTTTTTTTCAGAAAATGCTGCAGTCTCCCTATTTCTTCTTTGATGTTGTTTATCTTCATAACGGCACTGAAGAACAAACAGAAGACACTAGCTGGAAGGTTTGAGCGTCCTATGATTCCCTTGAATCTTACGCTTCAGTTTTTATAAGGAGGATACTGAATGTTTGTGTCTGTGTTGTCAGGACGTGTACGCCTCCTTCAGTGAGCTGGACTCTAAGGGAATGTGTTATTGCTTTGAGGTGTCACTGTGTGGTCCTGCTCTTGAGCTGCACAACTGCATGGCCAAACTGCTGTGCCACCCGCTGCAGAGACCCTTCCAGAGCCACGCGTCCTACAGTCTGCTGGAGGAGGACGACGCGCCGGAGAACGAAGCCACGGTGTGAGACTGCATAACCACAGACTGATCCACTCCAAAATGAAGGCTTGACCTGTGAATAACTGCGTATATACGGGCCTTGTCCGCTCTTTCTGTACTGGAAATGCCTCTTTTATTACTTTTGAAAACTTCAGTGTCTTAATTTAGCACAGCAGAATAACCACACTAGCTCAAGACCCTGTTGTGGCACAGTCGATTAAAGCGAACCAATTAGTTTTTGAGAATGTCAGCTATCAACGTCGTGTAAAGGGATACATGATACACCTCTCAAACGTCTGCTTGCTATGTGGTGGAGATTTTACATGTGAATGATGGCCGTAGAGATCCATTGACTTCTAATGGTTTCATCTAGACAGCAACTAATAAATACTGTTTGCTTGTTCCTCTCGAATAAATGAAACGTAAATGCTCTGTGGGACTCATTTGCTACATGGGTGCCTTACATACAAACCAAAAAATATTATGGTATAGAAACCGTGTAGCTGTGGACAGATTGTTCACCCATGTTAACTAAGGTATTTGAACGGACATTAAGTTAAAAAAAAAATTTGTGGGAACTATAATGGGCAGGGCTTGATGCTGTCCATCATAATTTGACTGGATCGTGAAAAGCAATCTATGATATTATTGGTTACTATATTCCACCAAATCAGATGATATTTCAGATTACTGCACCAGATTTTATATGGACGTATGCTACACTGCATTATAAAACAGATAGTTCCGGTCCTTGATTCTGATTGGCTGAGCCACGTTCGAAGCTGTTGTAAATTACTCTACAAACACAAACACCTTTGTTTACGTTACTCTGCAACCACTTTGTTGCAACCACAACCAATTCTGAGGAACTACATTGTTTGGCGGAAGATTAATGTTTTTATTAAAATCATTACACTTTATTTGCTCGGTTTTATTTTGTGAAACCTTACTACGTATATGGAATAACCGTTTTATAAAAGTGCTTTGCGTCGTGCTTAACAACGCCCCTTAGCTGTTATAAATTCGCTGTCAACCACGACTTCTTGGGGCTTATTGCTTTATTATTGTATACTGTGCTAAATGTACATCCAGTTAATAAAGTATTGGAGAGCACCAGTGAATTTTACATTTGGAGGAAGGGTTTGAATAAAAAAAAAGTGCAAAGCATGTACTGATAATAATGTGTACATGCCGGTCGGTGACAAGCATTTCGAACTAGGGGATTTTTTTGTTGTTGTGGTGAAGAATATGCAACATATCCACTAAAGATACTGTTTACTTGTAGATATGCAAAACAAAACTCTAGATGGGAAAATGAAAGCAGCAATGCAATTGTGTCCACAAGAGGTTGCAGGAGTACAGCTGAACAACAACAACAAAAAAACAGTCATTAGTCTTCATAGTGAATAATGTTGATTACATTGGGGAATTTACTTTTGGGATTATTAACTGGAATTGTTTGTTTTTTAAAGAAGAATTTGCTTTGTTTTATTCTTTGACCACACAAACTCGTATGCATCTGTGATTCTGTATCCTGCTGTTGAGCAGCACAAAGGTTCACAGATAATAGTCGGAAGAGCTTTCAGGGCACATTTTTTTCTCTCCATTATTGTGTTAATAATCATTAACCTTTTTCACCCTGCAACCTCCTTAGTTCTGGGAACAATTTTGTTCCAAGCTGTAAACAAAGATGGAGGAAAACCTAAATCAAGATGCTAAATTCTTAGAAAAAGTCTCTTAAAAATAAGGATTCCATTTTTTTTTTTGGCCATAGAAGAACCATCTTTGGTTCCCTGAAGTATCCCCAAAGTGCACAGTTGTTAAAAAAAAGTATTTTCTTAGTGTGACGGACATTTGAATAATCTAAAGGACATTCTATGGAAAGAAACGTTTCCATGGATGTTAAACATCCTTGGAACAATAATTGCCAAAAAATAACTTTTATTTTTAAGAGTGAATGCCTACAAATATGTGAATTACTGATTGTCTGTAATGCTCAACTTTTGTTTCCCAGAGACAACTGACATGACGGTGAGTAAATAATACAATTTTGCTTGAAATTATCTTTAAAATTAAACTTAAAAGGAAATTAAAATACTGTCATCATTTACTCACCCTCAAGTTTCTTTCTTCTGCTGAACACAAAAGAAAATATTTTCAAGAATGTTTGAACCCAATCAGCTGCTAGTATTGGGGGGAAATTCTATGGAAGTCAATGGGAACCAGCAGCTGTTTGGTTAACAACAATCTTTAAAATATCTTCTTTCGTGTTCAGCAGAAGAAAATGATAAATGATGGCAATTTTCATTTTTGGGTGAACTGTCCCTTGAATGCTTGAGAGACCCAAAAATTCTTGGAGTAATGACTAGATGTTGAGCTCTGACTCTGATGCCCTATAATAACCACAGCTCATTTGTCTTGTGTTCGGCTGTCTTTTGCAGAATCAGCTTCCTGTTTTTGTCTTTAAGCGTTCTGTAAGGGAATTTTGTGAGAACTTTCAGTTCGTTTCAAAAACCCTCTGTAAATGACTTTCCGCTGAGGACGGATTGGCAAGGAGACAATGGCCTGCAGGAAAAGCCCTGACTTACTTTACGTCCCCTCTTCACACTCTCCCAGACACGACTGTCAGCTGCGAGCGTCATCGCCAGCCCGGGATCAAATGTGCTGCCGCCTCCTGGACTTCTGGGAGAGTTTGTTATTCATTCCTGCGAGGAGGATGAGGGGTCACTATTGTTGTCCCTCCGACTCCACCAATGCGGCTCTGCAGGAAACGGTTTCAGGTGGGTTGTTTTGATCAGATGTGTTATCATCATATCTGGTCTGATCCAGGAAGAGATGGAAGGACCAGCTTTTGTCCTTTGCAGGAACATTGTTTTTCTTGGCCAAAGTGGCTGATTCCAAAAGGACAGCTGATATTAAGTTAATTAACTCAAACTGAGAAATACCTACCAATATGGACGCCAAGAACAACTACAGAGATTATGAAATAAGTGCTATCTAGATGTTTGACGGTGGTCTGCATTCCTCGACAGGGTTTGGTGTGATTTATGAGGGAAAGTTCGGGAGGAGCTCTGGCTGTCTCTGGAGATCTCCGTAGGTTCGGCGTGAAGTACCGTTAACCTCTGGAGCTTTCCCGGGGAGGGCCCGGAAAGAGTCACGGCATGGGAAGTGTGTCTTATAAACACAGCTCCCGCCCCGAGTCCTGGCAGAAGTGTTTACATGTCATTACCCACAAGTGTAACCTCTGACCATTGCTTTTCATAACAAAGCTGTAGTATCACAACCGTCCGAAGGTCTGTCTCATTCCCACAACCGGACCTCAGAAATGTACAACAGCAGCTACTCCCGGGCCACTCTCGGACTGGAGACGAAAAAGATCCACAAGGCGAAGAAGGGGAAAAGCTGCGGCTACTACATGAGGATCGTCTTCTTCTTCTCGTCTCTGATCCAGTCCCTCATCATCGCCAGTTTGGTGCTCTTCCTCGTGTACGGCCAGCCAGAGAAGACGGCCGAGGAGAAGAGAGTGGAAGAGCTGGAGCTGGCCTTCAACAAGCTCTCTACAGACAACACCAAACTCAGAAAAGACAAAGCTGACCTCACCGGCGCCCTCAAGGCAAAGACTGGAGAGAAGGATGCGGCGGATAAAGAGATCGCAAAACTGAAAAATGATTTGAACTTAACAACGATCAAGAGCAGTAACTTGCAGAAGTCACTTGTAAGTCTTTTATTTGCTTGTACAGTGTTTGGGGATCAGTAAAATGTCTAATGTTTTTTTAAAGAAGATTCTTATGCTCGTCAAGGCTGCATACGGGAAAAAAATGCATTTTGATAAATAAAAAGTTTAAAAGAATAGTGTTTACTCAAAATAGACATTTTGTGTTACAATATACACTACTATTCAAAAATTTGTGGTCAGTAATTTTTTCTAAAGAAATTAATACTTATTTAGCAAGGATGTTAAATTGATAAAAAGTGATAGTAAAGACATACTGTTAGAAAAGATTTTTATTTTGAATAAATGCTGTTCTTTTAAACTTTTTATTCATCAAAGAATCAGAGAAAAAAGTATCACGTTACCAAAAAAAAATATTAAGGAGCACAACAGCTTCAAAACTAATAATAAATCAGCATATCAGAATGATTTCTGAAGGTTCGTGTGGCACTGAAGACTGGAGTATTGGCTGATAAATTCAGCACTGCGTCACAGAAATAAATTATATTTTAAAGTATATTAAAATAGGAAACCAACATTAGAAATTGCAATAATATTTCACAACATTTCTGTATTTTTGATCAAATAAATACAGCCTTGATGAGCATAAGTCTTACTGATCCCAAACATTTAAACGGCAGTGTATGTCATAATTTACACACTCTTACATCGTTCCAAACCTGTATGACTTACTTTCTTCTGTTGAACAAACAAAAAGATTCTTTGAAGGATGTTGCCATTGTTTTGGTCAATGGGGCTCAAAATAATTTGACACTGATTTTCATTGTATGGACAAATGAAAAACTGGAGACATTTTTTCAAATATCTTTGTGGCTTGACAGAAAAAAGTAAGTCATACAGGCGTGCAATGACATGAGAGTGTGCAAAGGAGGACTAAAGTTTAATTTTTGTCTTGATATTATAAGGTGTGATTAATCTTGAAACCCTAACAATAATTACAAGCATTTTGACTGGCTGTTTTACAGTCTCTCTGTGAGGCCAATAAAGCAAAGATTCCAAGCACTCGATATACTCCACTCCCATGTCCACCAAGCAACAACAATCAGAATGGTGAGTGCAATCAATGAATAACCAATTTCACAAAGAGACCGTCCTGCTGACATGGCTCTCTTTTCTCTTCTCAGGTGAAATAAAAACTCTAAATACTCTTCTGGAACAGCAGAAAGTTCTATATGGAATACTTAAGAGCAACTTCAGCCAAACGGTGGAGTACCTTAAAACTGACTTGGACAACGCAGTGAAGGATAAAAATGAACATCACAGCCAGGTGATTCAGCTGAGACAAGAATCCATGAACTTGAAATCCCAGCTTGATGTGTACACCAAGAAATGCAAAGAAGACTTTGCAGAGTCCCTCCAAGGCATCCAGACGGTCACAAGTGCCTTCCTGACCAAAATCGACAACTTCTTCACCAACTCGGTCACGTTTCACCTCACCTGCCCGAAACAGGAAGAGCAGATGGAAAGGATTCGCTCCAACTGCTCCAGCCTCTCTCGACAGGTGGAGGACAAGTTCCAGAGCTACCTGGACAACGTGGGAGCGAAGGTCTCCAGCATTCAAAAACAGAGCAGCCGGTTGGAAGTACAGAACACGGGACTGACTTCAGAACTAGACAAGTGCAAAATGGACCGGGAGAAAGAGGCTGCGGAGAGCAGCAAAAAACTGCAGGATGCCCAACAGAAGTATGACAAGCAGCTGGAGCAGCTTCTCAAGGAGCAAAGCAGACTGAGGGACGCCAAAGACCTACTAGAAGCCCAACTTTCTGTGAATGACGCCACCCTTATATCCCTGCGAAATGGCTGCACACAACAGGTGGGAGTTATGATGACGCTTAAAACATCTGGAAAATCTTCCATGGTGGCCATTTTTAGCCTAATTGCATGTTTGAAAGCTGTAGAGCGTATTGTAATTAACTCAAATCAATCTTCACGGTTTGTGCAGCCCAGACCTGCTGGTCTTCAACCCCCTGGCATAGCCACACCTGGTAGGGGCCATTAACCACTAAAGGTAAGTGGTCTTTATTAACTGGAAAGTCAATATAATCACTATAAAGTGTGCAGGGCATTACTGTTCATTTGTTACATGCTACACCAGTGCTGTCCAATTCTGCTTTTGCGTCCCGCAGAGTTTATCACCAATCTGCCTGGAAATATCTAATCCTAAAGCAGGTGTTGGACCCCCAGGGCATCCAAGATGTAGGTGACTTTGTTTCTTCAGTAGAACACAAACGGAGATTTTTAACTCAAACCGTTGCAGTCTGTCAGTACTGTAATGTCAGTGGATGGGAATCACGGCTTTGAGAGTCATAAAACATACACAAACAAAACCAAATTAAACCCTGCGGCTCGTGACGATACATTGATGTGAAAAGACACCAAACGATCGGTCTGTGCAAGAAAGTGAACAATATTTATATCGTTTTTTCCTCTGATTTTCACTGCAATGTCTGAACTGTCCTGAGCGCGTTCGCGTCTTCTTCTTCAGTCGGGCGTGACACGTCTTCTTCTTGCTTTACGGTGGATCGCAGACTTATAAGTGCATTACCGCCACCTATCTCTCAAATGGACCATTGACACTCTATCTACAATCTCAATTGGGAATGTCAGTGGTGCATTTGAGAGATATGTGGCGGTAATGCACTTATAAGTCTGCGATCCGCCGTAAAGAAGAAGAAGAAGATGCCTCACGCGCTGGCTGAAGATGAAAATCAGAGGTAAAAAACTATATAAATACTGTTCAGTTTCTTGCACAGACCGATCGTTTCGTGTCTTTTCACATCAATGTATCATCATGAGGCGCAGGGTTTCATTTGGTTCCAAATATCCACTGACATTATAGGACTGACAGACTGCAACGGTTTGAGTTAAAAATCTCAGTTTGTGTTCTACTGTAGAAACAAAGTCACCTACATCTCGGATGCCCTGGGGGTAAGCAGATAAACATCAAATTTTCATTTTTGGGTGAACTATCCCTTTAATTACCCATATCAGGCTGAGTGATTCAGAATGTCTTTTTTTATTGTTTTCGCTCTTTTCCGCAGGCTGGGTGTGGAGAAGGGAATGATCTGAATCTCAAGGCCGGACTCTGAGTTTCTGAGTGTCTTGTGTGTGGGAGTTTCCTGATTTTGAGCCTGTGATCTCTTTTGTAAATAACGTTGTCACTGTAGATCACTGTGAATGTACGTGCGCTCTAATGTTTAGTTCATTGTATAGTTGTATTTAAGCATCATGGGCTGTGAACTTGCAAGACATGATGTACTTCTGAGGTCTCAATCAGTTATTCAGTTATTTAGAGTGGTGCAGATCTAAAAATGTGAGACTGCCTTTCCTACAAAGCACACAGTTAATATTAAATAAAAAAATTTACAGCATCAGTTGTTAAATACTGAGAGAACCTGGTTCTGTGAAACCTCCATGTGAGTTGTGATGTATATAATGTTCTTTACACATTAATTGTGTTGCAGTGATTGTTTGAACCAGTTTTAATGTCCTTTTTATTGTTTTTGTTTTCTAAATATTTTGTTTCTTTTTAATATGTTGATCAGTCTGTTTTGAATAAATAAATAATCATTAAAATCAACTCCTGTTTTCTTTTCTTTTTTATTAAACCTGTATTTAAATATATATATATACACACACACTTTTGGATGAATGTCATTATGAATATACAGGAATATCCTGTACGATATGTTAATAGCCAACTAATTGTTACTAATAACAACAAAATGTAAAATATTTAAAATATTAAACATGCACTCTGATGATACAGTACATAATACTATATTTAAAGATTCAGTTTTTGGGTGTGGTGTGTTTAATATAAAGAGGAATTAACAAAAGACAGAAAATTTGTCAATGCTGAATGTGTTCTGTACCGAGATTGGTAAATAATTTTCTTTATGCAATCTCTATAAAATGTATAACACCGTTCTGAAGGAATCTATGTGTTCTACGGCAGTTCCTTCTGAACATTTTGGCCTCTCCATCAACCTCATAAAGCAGAGCAAAGGCCAGTGAGATTTATGGGAGCTTTTTAACCCCGCTAATCAGCAGAAACAACAACACAACAGCGTCATGAATGAGAGGAAGGCAGAAGGTACAGCGTGCTGCGCACAGCTCCTGGCACCCCAATGTCGTCAAACGGGTGAAGAGTTCAGCAAGCACACATAAACATTTAAATGAATGTCAGATTGACAGGAGAACAAAGGGCCGTGGGGACCATTTCTGAACACCTCCTTCCTCAACAGCCGGTACAGTTGAACACAGAGAATGCTCAGCTGCATCAGATCGCCTCCAGCGTGTTTGAACTCAATGCGGCCAGAACAAATAAGAAATCCTCCTGCCAAGGCTAGTGTGAAGTCATCCTTTGCAAATCAGCCATTGGGAGGACATTTAATTGTTTTTGGGGAAGCCGAGATTTGAAACTCTGCCTACTATATGCAATAAAAAAATGACAGATTTTTCTGGTTACAGTGCGCTCTTCTGTTGCCTGCTTAGACTGATCAGGTCAGGTTTGTAGATTTTTCAACTACATTTAAAAAAAGATTTTAAACATTCTATCAGGTAAATCTGTTATCTTTATTTATTACTGCCCTCTAGAAGCTATATTTAAAATCTTTACACCTTTTGCAATAACTGTGTACAAGTCCCTCTGTTGTAAGTGTGAAAAACTGGAAATCAACATTATATACGTGTGTGTGTGTGTATGTATGTATATATATATATATATTAGGGCTGTCAATCGCTTAAAATATTTAATTGCGCTTAATCACATGATTGTCATGAGTTAACTCGTGATTAATGGCAACTTAATCGCACATTTTTATATGTTCTAAATGTACCTTAAATTATCACTTTTCAAGTTTTTAATACTCCAATCAATCAACACGGGCATGGACAAATATGGATGCTTTATGCAAATGTTTGTTTATTATTAGTGAAACCAAAGTCAACATAGAGCATGAAGACTAGACATGTTTCAAAGGTCATGTTTTTCAAAGAACTTGTTCATGTCAATTAGACACATAAAAAAGGAACATACCAGGTTCTCATTACTTTTGTTTGTAGTAATGGGAGGCATCAGCAGCCTCCTGGACAGCCACCTGGATGCTGCGGTTGTGCATGGTGGAGATGAGGTCACTTTTGTTGAGGATCAGGATGCAGTCCTGCCTGTGAGATGAGTGCTCAAGGATACTCTTTAAGTGTCCGCTGAGGAAGACGGGCACTAGCTGGGGCTCTGAAGGAAGCTGCATCAAGTCGACGACCACAAGAGACAGATCTGCCTGCTTCATGTGGGCAGCAGCGGAAGGTCGTTTCTTAAGCCTGTTTCCTGAGCCTGGTCAGCATCTTACAACCTCTGACCTCACAGAAACAAACTGGCCACTTCCTGTCTATGCCATCACTTTAGTAAATCACAGCATACTGTACAGGCAGAAAAATATCACGCACTGCGACACACAAAGGTAAACTGTGACAAAGGAAATGCCTAATGTGCAACGATGGCACTTGGACACGGTTGTGCATGCTTAAAATGTTTGAATTGCATTGCATTAGATAAAATAAAACTTTAAAAAGATATATGCAAATAAATTATGATAGACCTTTTTATACTGTATTTTTCAAAAATAATAATTTGTTCTAAAATGCAGGAACATTTATTTTTTTCTGTTTTAAAATTCTATTTTATTGATTAATTAATAAGGATTAATATGAATTGTGCTGTTTATGCGTAGTGATTTTGTGATCTGTACGGTCTAATGACCTTTGATTTTGCCCACCATACCATATAAAAACATAAAGGAAAAACATGCCATCAAAACATGTTCATTTCTAATTTAAATGTTTGCTTTTTTTGTTTGTTTGTTTTATTTTTGCATTGAAATGTAAATTTAAAAAGTGAACTTAATTTTAAATTTTAAATATATATTTTTTGTTTAATTATTGACATTTTTAATACAATATAATTGGATATAATGCAACATTCACTTTTGGCACACAAAACTCAATCAAGTTGAATTTTGGGCTCTTCGTATATTTTGGCACCTCTGGTCTAAATGACCAAAATAAATTTGTTGGGCTTTGTCTAAAATTTGTTGTGTTGCTCACTTATAATTGTAGCTAGTTGTTTAAATTAATTAAATAGTTATTATGAAAAAAAAATGAGTGTGAAAAGTTTGAATATCAGTAAAAAGGCATCGTGGTTTCTCGAAAAAATGAAATCAAAAATGTCAAATCAAAATTGTGAAAATGTTGTTTAGGTATTAATAATGTGCAGTTTTCCTGACAAAAATAAACAAAGAAACAAAAATTCTGGTCTGTTTGTCCTCAAGTTCAACTTTAACAACCATCTATAGTTTCAAACCAAACAGACTTCTTTTGCAACCTGTTCTTTTAAAAGACATGGCACTTGTTTTTGTTTGTAAATAATTTCATTATTTAAATGAAATTTAATTATAATTAAATTCATTATTGCAAAAAATAATTTTTGGTCATTATTAAACTTCCACCTCTTTTTCTGCAAACATTATGTAACTAAACTCTTTATATTATTGCATAACCTCCCATGTCTATTCAGTCGTGAAAAAATGTGCCACACACCTATATCTAAATCTGTGAATAAACAGATAATTTCCCCTCAGTGAGTTGCAAAAACATCTTGAGAGATATTTCCCCTTCTATGGGCCATTTTTAGGATAGCAATATTTATTACTACGGCAGCAGGACGCTGAGCTTTACAGAGTGAGAGAAGATACGGCAATTAGTTCAGAAACTAATAAAGACAACAAAGAACTGCACTATTTAACCCAGGGGTGCCCAAACTCGGTCCTGGAGGGCCGGTGTCCTGAAGAGTTTAGCTCCAACCCCAATTAAACAGACCTGAACCAGCTAATCAAGCTCTTACTAAGCATACTAGAAACTTGAAGGCAGGTGTGTTGAGGCAAGTCAGAGCTAAACTCTGCAGGACGCCGGCCCTCCAGGACCGAGTTTGGGCACCCCTGATTTAACCCTTCAAATGAGTGTCTATTTTCATGCTACTAAACTTTTTACTAAAACTAAATTATTTTGCTACACTTTTAAAAGCTTTTTAAAGATACTAGTACTTATTCATTATATTTTAGTACTGATTGTTAGATACTGGAACTAATTCTTAAGGATGGTTAGAGAGTCAGACTTGTAACCGGAAAGTTGAGGGTTTGAGTCTCAGGTCCGGCAGAGATTGTAGGTGGGGGGAGTGAATATCCAGCGCTCTCTGCACCCTCAATACCACGACTGAGGTGAGACCCTTGAGCAAGGCACCGAACCCCCAACTGCTCCTGTGTGTGTGTGTGTGTGTGTGTGAGTGTGTGTGTGTGTGTGTGCGTGTTTGTTCACTACTCACTGCTGTGTGTGCGCGCACTTGGATGGGTTAAATGCAGAGCACAAATTCCAAGTATGAGACAGCATACTTGGCCACACATCCTTTCCTTTCCTAATTCATTAGATACTAGTACCTATTAAATAGATACTAGTACTTATTCATTAGATACTAATATTTATTTAAATAGTGACTAGTAAATATTCAATTGTTACTAGTAACTCATTTCAAATTTTTGACTTAGAACTGTCCAGTTCTGATTTGGTATATGGCAAGCCATTTTAACATTTAATTTATAAAACGTACTATTTTGATTCTACTAGTACAGTGTTTCTCAACCTTGGTCCTGGGTGCCCCCCAGCACTGCACATTTTGTGTGTCTCCCTAATCAAACACACCTGATTCAACTCATTAGCTCATTAAAAGAAACTCCAGGACCTGAAATAGGTGTGTCAGATAAGGGAGACATACAAAATGTGCAGTGTTGGGGGCGCCCAGGACCAGGGTTGAGAAACACTGTACTAGTACTTGTTTTTTTTTAGCTAGTAGTATCTATTTTGTTAGGTACTAATACTTATTTATTGACTAATAGTGTTTATTCTTAAGGTACTAGAAACTTTTTAAAAGACACTAGTATTTATTCATTAGATACCAGTTCTTATTTATTAGATACTGGTATTCATTCATTAGACACTAGTACCTACTAAATAAACACTAGTACTTATTGTAAGATACTAGTAGCTATTCATTAGATACTAGTACTTATTCATTAGACGATAGTACTTTTTATTAGACACTAATTTATTAGATACTATAACTTAGTGACTAGTAACTATTCTATTGCTACTAGTAACACATTTACATTTTTTTACTGACTTCTATGGGGATCTGTCATTCAGATATCAACTACTCAGTTTTGACTAGTATGTATTCCTATTGTGACTAGAACATAATTTTTTATATTCTAGTAGTTATTCATTAGGTACTACTACTTATTTTTTTAGACACTAGTATATATTATTATACACTGTTACTTATTCATTCATTCATTATTCGAAGTGTTACTTGTAAGATTTTCTATTTTACTAGTAAGATTTTTAAATGAACTCTACAATGGTC